TTATTCAGTGGGTGTCTTCTTCCTGGAGGTACTAGTCCGCTGATTCGAAAACTCCAAGGATTGGGCAGAGCAAACCAGGGAACATACTGATGTCACTGGGAGCCAGCCGGGCGGCTTCTCAGGGGAGAAGGAGTGAAGCCAGGGAAGGGGCAGGGGGAGGACCTGGGTCAGGATCAGAGTAGTCACTGAGATGTGTAAATGACCGACAAAGAAAAAAGATAAACCTGTACTGGTCACTGAAAGCTTCGACGCAGTAACCCCGGGGCACTGAGCATTCCTAGGGCTCCATCTAGGATGATTATCCTTACTGCCCACTAAAAAAATTTCCCAGGGGGCCCTCCCTGGTGGCGCAACAGGTTAAAGCACAGAACTATGAGGCTATGGCAGCCACTGAGCCATGAGTTTGATCCCCGGCCAGGGAGGTGACCCACACGGCACGGCAGACCTCTCCTGATCCGCCCGCTGCTCCCCTCAGCAGTGCACTTCGTTGATCTGCCAGTTCTGCTCCCCACTCTAACTCTGGTGAATTCTCATCCCAGTTCTGTATGCATAAATAATCTTTTTTTTTTTAAAAAAAATGTCCCAGGGCTCCCCAGAGACATCAGTAAAGTGAGGTGAGTTTGTGTGCAGGTGTCAGCAGGACAGAGGGCCAGCTTGACCGGGCTCCTACTGGCCATAATTAGAATAATTTGAACTTAAAAAAAAAAAAAAGACCCATGAGTGCAAATTGCTACTTTACAAATGGAGGGGGAGGTACAGGGCAAGGCTTTCTTTCAGGTGAATGCTGGCTAATGAATGAGGAGAAATGACAGAATCAGAAAATCACCGTTTTGCAGCCATCACTGAGGACTGGTGAGGGTTCACCACAGAGGTGGAAACCCTGGGGTGAAATGCTGACCAGTCTCCAAGTACAGACCCCTCGTGAATCGCAAACAGGGAAGGAACCTTCGCAGTGAAGGGGTCTGATGGAAACACCTTCGCCAGGTGATGCGACGCGGCATGGCTCAGCCGGGCGCTGGTCCCTGACCCTTCTCTGCATCTGAACCCAAAGGACAGGTGTCCTCACTTGTGACAGCCCTGGGCTCCGGCGCTGGATCCAATCCACCCTCAACATGGCACAGAAGTCGCCTCCAGCTGACACCTTTTCCTTGAAGCAAGCAGTGAGCTCGACTCCCTCTTGCTGACGGCCCCAAGCCACCTTGCCTGACCGACAGGCCAGTCTGCCACTGGACAAGGCCCTAGACTGAGCCTCATTCCCAGCACCAAGCGTGGTCTGCTCTGCCCCCGGGGTGACAGGGCGCCTGGTCAGGACGCTGGGGCTCTGCCCTTGCTGGAAACAGAGCCACCTGAGATTTCAAACCCTCCAGTTTGAAAAGGACGTTTGAACTCGGCTCCACACCTCTGGCTGCTAGGACTGTGCCTTCAGTCAACGTTTCGCTGCAGCTCTAAGCCTCTGAAAATGGAAAACGTTTCCCTGCAGCATTCTACCATGAACTCAAAATTCCCAGGCTGGGCTTCCTGGACTCTCCTTGGCCCCCGGCCCCACTGTCACTTCCATGTGACCTCTCAATCCTTTTCATGCCGTCACTTCCCCAGGGACCCCCCCCCCCCGAAAGGCCCAGGTCTTGGTCCCCTTAGCATCCTGAGAGGCGGCTGAGAGCCATAAATACATGATAAACTGATAAACGAAGGCGGAAAGAGTATTAGACAAAGCTGGCTCCCTCCTTTGACCCCAGCAAATACACTGTTACATTACAAGGTGGGGGGACAGCGGGAATATTATTGTTTCAGCCACAACATGAGAGCAAGTCTCATAGCTGAGCTGGTGAGACGGGGCATCCCCGAACCCCACACAGGCCCCACGAAGCACAGAGGAGGTAGTGAGCTTGGCCCTGCAGGAGGCCCTCCCCCCAACCCCAGGGGACCCCTTCAGAGCTTCCATCTCCTCACCAAATGAACAACCCCGAGTGTTCCAGAGAATTAGAGTCTCCTGCAGAATCATCCGCTTGCGAGAGAGGTGTTCATGAAACAGCTGTAGAGCACGCAGTATTTTTTCCATTTATTTACAACATTAAATTGAAAATTTGTTCCGAGGGAATAAGAAAACCTATTAAGATCGCATATGGAAAGGGAAAAATAAAATGTTCTGGTAACATCAGCACCACTGCCCACAGGCTAAGAAATGAAAACAGAGGATTTTCTTTGCACCCCGCGCCCCCCCGAGAAAGCAGGAGGGGCTCTGATTTCAAGAGGGTGATTTCCATCCCAAAGCCGGAGTCTATTGGGAGTTTCTATTTGACCTGGGGAATTATTTTCAGTTTGAGCCATTCTGCACAGGATTCATGGAGATGGAGCTGATCTAACAAGCCAGCTCATTTTCCAGAAATCACCTGCCTTGGCCCCCAAGTGCTGTTAGCAGGCGTCACCTTGGATAGGGGTGTGCTCACTGGACCAGGCTGCACCCTCCGCCTTCCCCGTAGCAACCGGAGCACCCCAGTCACATGGCAAGCTCACTGCACCTCAGTGTATCATAAACCACTGTGGACTCCTGTGCTCAGAGCAGGGCTCCGTCTGTTCAGTTAGTTTTAGGCGAATCCTAAAGGGACCTGCCCCAGATCGTGAGCGATGCAGGCTGCTGTTCACACAGGCACGGCTCGTGTCCAGCCGGGGGAGGGTGTTCCCCAAGGGAGCCCACGGTTGTGAATCCAGGTGACGTCTGCACAGTGGTGGGGACCTGGCCTACCAGCCCCGGGAGGACACCTTTCCGTCCCCACGTCCTTTCTGTCCTGTGTCCCTCGTGTCCCTCTCTGAGGCCCTCTGTGTGTGCAGTTCGCACCTGCCCGGGCCTGGGGCACTGCAGGGGAGGGCTGGCACTATGCCTCTGCTGTTACTACAGAGAAGGGAGGCCCGGCACGTCCAGGTGTGCTGTGCTGTGCTCAGAGGCACAAAGCCTAACAGCTGGACTTCGAAATTCTCAGCCTGGGCTTTCTTGCCTCACGATGAACTGCAAACCCCACAGTCACGCGGGGACCGTTCACCTGTCTGTATCTATTAGAATGGCAGCAGCAGTGACTTTCGTAAGCCAAGGAGTTGGTCAGCCGCAGTCATTCTACTCGATTCTCCTCAGTCCCTCGCGACCTACTGAGGCTACGTGCATGCTCGTTTTCTCCTAAACTGCACGCTTCCTGCCCCCCCCCCCCCAGACGTGACTTTGACAATGTAGGAGCCTTAGTAGAAAAGAGAAACAAATGCAAGGTCGCAGATGACCAAGTTCATGGCCCCCGAGGGGCTGCTGTCAGCCAGAGACATCAGCGCCATGTAAGCGAAGGGAGGGCAGGTGAGGGCCACCTCGGTCCCCGAGGAAAGGGGGGTGGCGCAGGAGGGGTGGTTGTGAGGACGTGAGGGGACTTCCCCAACAAACAAAAAGTCAAAGGGGAGTGTGCCCACCAGGGCGATTTCGCTCACAACTCGCCCTTGACCATGGGGCTACACCTGGCTGGTTCCCTCAGGTTAGTGGGCGGTCAGATAAGTTGACGCCTCCAGGCATCTCAGAAATCCTTTGATGGCTCCTAATTCTTACATGAGAGGACAGCGGAGAGTAGAAAACTTGCCAATTTTTTCAAAGGAAAAAAAAAGCGAGGATGTTTTCAAAAGTGAGCATTCTCTGGATGCCCTCCCCGCTCCCCCTTTTCCCTCCGAAGCAGACCCCTCCCAGGCTTGTGGCTACACCTGTCAGTTACAGATAAGCTCCGCCAAAGTCAGCCTTCCATTTTCCTGACTGCTTAAAATTCCTCCGCACGGATGGAAACAATACCTTTGCTGATGGAATGAAAACCAACTCCCTTGTCAAGAAGAGAGATCAGGAGGTGGAGGCTGGGCTGCAAGGGTGAGGGACTGCGGGCCACGCAGGTGGGGGAGGGGCGCAGGGCCTAGGGGCGCGGGCTGGTTCTGGGGCAACTTGGGGGGAGCGACCTTGTTCCTAAGGTGCATCTGTGGGGGCAGACACAGCCCCGCCCCAAGAGGGGCCAGGGGGCTCGGGGCTGGAGGCCCAGGCCGGGCGGGGGTCGGCAGTGCCAGGGGTGATGGTCCGAAGCTCCAGGCCAGGAATCAAACAGCGTTTCAACCCCGGCTCCCCACTTACTCTGCGGCACTGCAAGTTTTCTGATCACTCTGTGTTGGGAGTGACCAAGTGAGGAGATTTACTGTGGGACTGGATAAGGGCAGTCATAAATCAGGCCTTGCATCCACGGGTGACAAGGCGGTAATAAACTGGGCTTTGCATCCAATTAACTGGGCCTTGCATCCAGGATGGGGCTAGAAGAAGGTGGTAACAGACTGGGCCTCACATCAAGGACACAGCGATGAGTCACCCCTTTGGAATCTGAGCTTAGAATCTATATGAGAGACCCTTTCCCCCTACCGGGCTGGCAGTAGCTGTGACCCCACCTAAGACCTCCTTCTCAGCTGCTGCCCGGGAGCAATAACCTCTGCGCGCTCAGCCTTTCTGCCTCCCGCCTTTCTTTCTAGCGGCTGGTCACTGAAACCGAGACAAAACACTCTGAGCCTCAGTTTCCTCTTCTGGAAAATGAGGCTGATAACGAGTGACTGAAGACTAAATAAATCGGTATGGGAAGGACTTAACCCTGGGCCTAACGGAGGAAGCGTGAGCACTCTGGGGCCTCGGCCGCTGCTGTCCCCTCTGGGACGGTCAGCAAGCCTGGCGTCCCCTCTCTGCCTCCTCTGGCGCCTGTTGCTCTCTCAGCAACAGCGTTTCGCTTCAGGGCTTCCCTGTCGCCATCACCCAGCAGGGAGAACCCTCACTCAGGGGCCGAGACTTGGGCTGACGCTCAGGTATTTGGGAATTCAACACACAGACCTGTCTCCTGGGAAGGAGGGGACCGGGAATCAGCAGCCCCGGCTCCCAGGCCCCGACAGAGCCCTGTGTCCCTGGCGGCCTGGCCTCTGGGGGCCACGTCTCCCGCCTCCACGAGCGAGCTCACCTGTGACGTGGAGCTTTTCCTCGGTGACCTCGGCCTTCAGGTAGATGCGGCCTCTCTTCTCGGTATGGTCCATCCCACACAGGCTGGGCACGTTTATCACACACTGCTTGTGCACGTTCATGTCGCAGGCTGCACGTGGAGAGAGCAAGGGGTGAGTGGGCCTATGGGTGAGTGGGCCTATGGGTGAGTGGGCCTATGGGCCGAGCTGCCACCTCCCTCAGTGTTTGGTGCAGGAGGAGAAGTGAAATGAGCCACCCTCCAACTCGATACTTTGTTGTAATGTTTTTGGTGACATCAAGAACTGTTAGCAGATGTCCCTTACAGCACAGGCTTCCTGTGAGTGGCAACTGCCTTAAAATACCCGGACCATATTTGTACAGTCGTCAGTGAAGCCAAGCAGCCCTGGCTTGGTCTCCTGCAAACGCTGTGATTTAACGGTACACAAAATCCACACAGGTACCTGCGTACCAAGCACAGACAGGTGCACGCTTTATGTCCGGGGGTGGGGGGGCGAACGGGCACACGTTAAACACGGGGTACACTCTGCCAAGGAATTTCTGACTGCCTCTCCGAGCTCAACCCTCAGCCCCAGAATCTGTGGGTTGAATATAGGAAATGCAGGAGATTTTCCCCTTTCCCCGCTAACTGTATTTTCAAGAAGGCTTAAGTACATGGCTTTTGTTTTGTTTTGTTTTAAGACTTGTGCTTGATATTTTAAACCTGTCTTCAAACATTTAAATATTATTGCAAGCACAACAAATGCAAGGCTGGCAGGATTATCCGTTCCTCCCCAGCTGACATGATGTGTTGCAGAGCGTCAAAGAAACCCGACATCTTGTGCCCCCAATTCAAAGGGGAGCTCTGTGGAGGAGTCCCAGCTCTCCATCCTCGTGGCCCCAGGCCCCTGTGGGGGGGTTGGTGGCTACCGGGGTCCTCACCGACCCTCGATGGCTGGACATGAGGTTGGGTGTGATTTTCCAGTGAAGCCCGATTCATTCGGGGGTTTCGTGTGAAGTCAACTAGCGTGTATCTGCTCTGGTTCAACACTGAAGGCTGGGGACAGGCGCAGTGCAAACAGCAAACAGCTGATTCACAAATGTGGACTTTGTTGAGCTTTTATTTCCAAAGCTGACTGTACAAAAACTCATGCACTTGGTTCAGCAGCTAGGCTCTTGAAAGAGTCCTACTGACAGGACTTGGGTGAATCAAACTCTATCTTTTGATATCTGCGAAGAATTTGCAACTTGAAGGGAAGAAATGCTACAGGTGCTGAATAGGGTGTGGGCGACAACGATGAGGAGAAAGTGGGCTGGGCTGTCTCCTTGCTGACTGTGAAGTGGCCCTTTCATCTTGGGAAGCTCATTTGAGGTCTTTGATGTTTTTTCCTATTCTGCAAATTAAAAGTTTGGGCTACCCAAGTGACTGCTAACTTGTTTTTCATCAGGCTATTGTATAGCCCTGTATGGTTATTGTAATTATTATATAAAATATAGGTATGTAATATTTTATATAAAATTCCTGTAAGGGCATAGAAAGAGGTTTCTTTTCTGCAGATGTCAAAGAAAGGGTGGGGTTTGGGGTCCCCAAGTTCACTTTCCTCCTTCCAGGAAGGAGCCCAAATAGTTGCCCCAGAAACCAGAGGCTCCCTCCCACCCCCCAAATTTAAATAAAACAAAACAAAATACCCTGGTCCAAGTCAGTGATTTTCTAAATTCTTTAGTAATAGAGTTCATTTTTCAAACAAAATCTTCAGCAGCATCTTAATATCCAAACCACATGGGGGTCATGTTATTAGTATAAACTTAGCTAATATATTCAAATTTATACCATTTGGTTAGTAGAAAGACATTCATGGATAACCAGGAAGCCCCTCTGATCCAAACAAAATTCTAAAACCAGCTGTGAGGGGTGCTCAGGTCTCCATTCAGTCTCAACATCTCACTGACATCTGCCTTTTGTTAATGTGATGTCACCTCCAAGTGCCTGACTCCAGGGTCTAAGAGGAGGGTACCGCTTTCACGGCCGGCAACTCAGCAAAGGCTGGGAGAGCCCCGACGGCAGGCCTGCCCAGAGAGCCAAGACGGCCACGTCCAGTCACCACTGTCCTCTCCAGCTTACCCCGCTGGAAGGTGTGACAGCATTCAAATGCTTTTGCTCCAAGTTATAAAGCTGCACAGGACGATGGTGAGGGCACACGGGTCAACTGGTGGTGGGAAGTCCATGGGCATTGCAACCGAGATGGAAAGAGGCACAAAATGACGAATGATGTAAAAATAAATAAATAAATAAAAAGTGCATTCACAGAGCACTTAGAAGCTGCACTTGGAGGACTCCCAGAAACCTGAGGCTCTGGACCCCTCAGGTTTCCAAAGGCACAGATGGCTCTTACTGCCTTGCATCGCCTGAGGTTTCACTAGTTATTCAATTCTACGTTAAGATGCTGTTTAGGCTAGAAGAACCCTGTGTTCTGAGAAAGTCCATCTTCTCTACAAAGTTCATGAATTTTGACCTTCATACGTGATCTTTGCCCCATGGGTACAGAGGATTCTGACCTTCATACGTGACCTTTATGCCATAGGAACATAGACAGCTTTCAGCCATAAAGGAAGGCATGACTGAATGACGACAGGCTGTGCACTTCTATCACATTTCCCTGTCTACTAGAAAAATCAGGTTCAGGTGATGACGTTTGCATATTCTAACATGGAAATTATCATTAAAGAAAAATAAAAGGAGAAATCTTGTAAGGATGATAACACAAAGAGTTTCCACAGCTGGTTTTCTTCTTCCTGGTGTCGGATGGAGGTGTGAAGAATGAAAAAGCTTGGAAAGGAGCTGAGATTTTCCTCGTCAAGGGGTCTTCAGTGGTTTCATTTCTGGGAAACTGATCTGTCTGGGAAGTTGCAGGATGAGTGACCTTCCGTGAGATGCCATCCTGGTTTTTATTTTCATTGTAGTTCCAGTTTTAGGGAGAGTCTGCTGGATTTTTCCACAGTCCACCCACTAATTAGAGACATGGGTTGATAATGACTAGGCTTGCGTAGCTTTTTTGAAGCCTCCCCAAATGTGGAATCTGGAGGTGGAGAGGCTTCTTGGAACACATGGCATTTTCCTTGGGGTTTGACTAGCCTGCATTTTACAGTGATTGAAGATCTCTACCCCCTCCCCCCACACACACAATATGACAGCTCCAACTTCATTTATAATTTGGGTGCTTTTTTGGGTACATAATGAGGCAATTAAGGCCTTTCATAAACCAAGATTTCAACGTGGATTCTACACTTCTTCAGTCTGTTATACATTGGGATGAATTCTCTCCATGGATGAGTGGCTGTTGAAGAGGTTACCGAACCTGAAGGGCTCTGTCAACTCCAGGCAGAAGCCACAGAATCTCAGCAGCTACCGGAAGAGCAAGTTTACTTACTGTCACACTTCATCCCTTGGTGAATGAGTCCATACAGCAGAGACCCGCAGTGATCACAGAAGGTAGGGCTTCCGTAGGTGTGGATCTTGAACTTGTGCTTGCTCCTGGGGTCCTGGGGAGAGAAGAAGCACATTGTTTATGCCACTCATGAAAGAAGCACATCCGGGAACTACACCTTCTTATGCCCTGTGCGATGGCTTGCTATGTACTGTTCTCTGAGCTCACACACTGGTGCATCATGGTGACACTGTGACATGTTTGAACAGGCTGCCCACTCTGGGATATTTTAACACCTCTTCACGGGCATAACTGCAAATACCAGGGCTGTTCCCAGGGCAACCACCTTTGGACCCACAGACACAAAAGCCCTTGAAGGCAAGGTCAATGTTGATAGCTGGGGTCCTTTTCCCCCAGTACTGGTGACAGCACAGAACAGGCACAGATTCAAGGGGTACATGTGACCCAAAATGAATGACCCTGGGCCTACTCAAGGGAGGTTAGCTAATCTTCACTTGGCCAAGGTTTCCAGAAACACCAGGCACAGTAAGACCAAGTAAGATAGGCACCCAAACCGAGAGGGACAACTTCTCATTTCTGCATTATTTCCAACGCATTAGAATGCGTTTGCATGGGGAAATTCCAGCATAATCAGATGGAAATTGAAATGCACTGAAAATACACTTCCCGGAGCCCCCTGCTGCAATTCTATTACCTTCTCTAGCACACCATAGAAATTAACGAAGGCACTAGACAGCTTCTCTTCAATTCACAGATAAGAATACAGACAGGGAAGTAGTGATTATATGCAGCAGACCACAGTGATTATAGAACATGGATTCTGCAGTCAGACACCCTGGGCTCAATCCCAGTTCTGCTACTTCCAGAAGCATGACCTTGGACAAATCACTTTGCTTGCCTCTTCTGCCATAAACTGTGAAATCAACAGCACTCATCTCCTGTGGTTGTTATGGGGGCAAAAGTCAAGTTTAGCAAAGTGCTTAAATTCAAGGAAACTCCTCTGCTTCTCGGGCCTCTGTAAATGCAAAGGGGTGGGTCAAGAGGTCTTTATGTCCTACTTGAACTATGAAACAATTTCATACTATACCTTTCCATACCAGGACCCTTATTCATTAAATCTCTCCTCTTGAATCAGATTCTGTGGTCTTTTGACCATAACTATTTCAGTTACATCTTCCTAATTCGGGAAGATGGCAGAGGAGCAGAGCTTGGTGACCAAAAGCTCCATTTCAGATGTTAAACTTGAACTGTTCTGTAGCTTAGTGCTTCTCAAATGCAAAGACATTCTAGGTTTTGACTTTCTAAGAGTACCATCTTGGTGCTGATGAATTCAGGGGCACTCCAAAGGGTGGTTTGGATTTTATAATTCATCTTTTGGTTGACTTCACAACATAAAATTTAAGTCATGGACAGACACAGCAATGAATTATGATTCTAAAGCCATGCATTTTAAAATTCTGGAATATTTCAATTATGTGGAATAGTATGAAGAGTAAAATGAAGACTCATTCTCTCATGTAAGCACCACCAAGATGTGTTAATACTAGCAGTTAGCCCACTGTCACGATATAATGGCCTTTTATTTAATAAAGTTGTATTTATTTACCACTTATTTACACTATGTATAAACTTGGGGGTATCCTCACCTCACCCACCACCAAAGGTTGATTTGCCACCCCCTACTTCCCCCGCTAACCACCTTATTTTCCACAGAGTCTAAGAGTTATTGTGTTGGGATTTCTTATTTGTTTGCTTGGGTTAATATTTTATATGTGAGAGAAACATTCAATAATTGTCTTCCTCTTTCTGATTAGCATAGTCACCTCAAGTTCTATGTGTGTTGTCACAAAAGCAAGATACCATCTCTCGTAGCTGAGTAGCATTCCCTTCTGTGCAAATACCATCAGTTCCTGATCCAGCCTGTCAGTGAGTTGACAGTCTCGGCTAGGGTGAATGACGTCATGAATACAGGAGTATTCTTTGAAGTAGGAGTTAACTCTTTGAAGTAGATTTTGTATTTTTCATACAAATACCTAGGAGTGATACTTTCGGATCATGTGCTATTTCCATTTTAAGATTTTAAGGAATCTCCACACCATTCTCTACAGAAGATAGACCAAGTTATGTTTCCACTGACTCATGATTATTTTTATGTCATTCTACAGGGAATCTAGTGACCTTTGGCATCATGTAATTGGTGACGATCAGAGATGATTTGTGACCACTACCTGTGTCAACTATGATTTCCACCCAAGAGCTTCCAGAAATCCACCTAGAATGAATCTGTAGCTCTTAATGTCTTTTGTTTTTCTATTTGTGACTTTTTTTTTTAAGGACAAGTCTCCTACCTAGTGTGTCAATAAAGTTTTACTGGAACATAATCATAATCTTGCTCATTCGTTTTCCTACTTCTTCTGGCTACTGTGGTGGAGTTGGAGAGACATGCGATAGGTTGCATGGCCCTCAAATCCTGAAAGAGTTAACATCTGCTCCTTACAGAAGAAGTTTGGCAGCCCTTGCTTATTTGGGGTGGTGATTTTTACAGGCTGATCCCTGCACTACGCAGCACCACCTGAGTGTGTTAGAGAGGGAATTAGTTAGCCCTTCTCAATGCCAGCTGAAGAGAAACTCCAAGGCTGAGGCTCAAAGCCCATATTTCAACAAATTCTTCAGATGCCCCTAATGATGGCTGGCACACAGAGGACTGGAATCATTGCCTTAGATGGTTCTTTAACAAATAACTAGTAGGTGATGAAATTGGTAGTTGGTGCTCTGATGTGTAAAGGAGGATTTTTGAGGCAGGTCACTCACTTATTCACTGGATTTCCCTCAGGGTGTGAAATATCAGCCTCTCCTTGAGAGATCACTTTCCTTGAAGTAGCTGCTGTGAACATGATCTCCCACCATCAAAGCAGCTCACCAAGCCCAGATCCCAGAATGTTAAGGCAAAATGTCCAGGGACCAAGTGAGACTCAGCAACAATGGAAAGCATCCCTGTCAATAGGTAAGGTGGTGTCCTAACACATGAAGGGCAGGTAAGATGCTGAAGAAGAAGAGTCAGCCAGCTTCCCTGGGAGAAGCATGGCAACAACAACCGTCACTAAGTAAACACCCAATGGCTGCAATATACAGCCCCCCAAAGCTGGGTGAGCCAGCCAGCACCAGGGCAGTGATCCTGCCAGTCGGTTGTCATATACATCTTAACTGACGTGGTGCATGGGCAACTTGCTTCACTTTTCAGGAAAACTGAAGTCTTACTCATTCAGTGCCCATATGGTATTTTCAGCTTGAACCGTTTGTAGGTGTAGGAAGAGAGGAAATCATTGCTTCCTCCTCCTGTACAAGGTTGGAGAACGACCAAGTCTTGGGATTCTCACAGCCCCAACTCATATCAGTGGCCAAGGATCGTGCCTATAAGTTGATGATACTGAGGATGATGATGGTGGTGACTGGTTATGACATTACCACATTTGTTGATCGTTTGGGGGAGGTGCTTCACACTAACCAAGAGCTTTCCAGTAGAAAGAACATTTATCAAGATTTAGAACTCCTGTGCTCTGACACTAGCACTGAACTGACACAAATGATGATCTTGGGAAAGGCACAACATTTACTTATAAAGCAGAGCTAAAACTAGTCTGCCTATGTCATAGCTCGGTGGTGAGCGGGGCTTGGGAAGCAAATGAAGAAGGTCTTTGCAACCTGAAATTCCCTAGACAAATAGGAGATTATCGCAATGACATCATCCTTGCAAGTAAACTCCAATGATGCAAGGTTCCCAAGAATACGCCTGACATGGGTCTGAATGAAAAGGAAGAGGAGGATTAGTAGTTCCATTCCTCAAACTGGTGAGATGAGCGGCCAAGCTGGCAAGGCAGCAGGGACCTTTCTCTGGGGTCCCCAGCTCTCCCTTCTCTCAGAGACTGACCTTGCCAGGCTAACACCTATACCAAGTGGTATGTTGTGAAACTGCCATTTTGCTGTCTGGCCTCTGTCTCCACAGTGTGGAAGTTCATGCCCCACACCACAGGATGGAAGATAGGAATGTGGAAACACTTTCCCAGACTATTTTATCTCACCCCCATCTGAGAAAAGAAACCACAGTGCAAGATAGGGAGCTGGAACTTTTGGCCTGAGAGCACAGCTGTGGGAGACAGTCCCCAGGCTCCGTTTCAGTCACCAGCCACCAAAGAGTGGTGCATTTAACTTCTTGTGTGGAGCCTCAAGAGGCTGGACTGGACCAGCATCTTTAAAGTGTTATTTCAAGGAGCCCCATAGGTCAGGAGGTGCCTGCAGGCAGCTGAGGATGAGAGAAGAAAAGAGCAGGAGAAGAGGTCACTGCTAAAATACAAGTTCAAAAACAACAGGACCAGAGGATGTCTTTGATTCGATCTTGCTTTGAAAAAAAAAAACAAAAACTTATTTTTATTTTGAAATAATTTAAGACTCACAGGAATTTGCAAAAATAGTACAGCCTGTTCCCATTTAGTCTCTGCCCAGGCTTTTCCAGTGCTAATGTCACACATAACCATAGTACGTTAGCAGAACCAGGACATTGATAGGGCTAGAATACCATTAACTAAACTACAGACTTCAGGGTTTCCCATGTATAATTCCAATGTATCTATTTTTACTGTACAGCTTATGAATTAAATACGCCGCTTACTGCTTGGCCGAGGCAGTACCGTTTGCAGAGTAAATACCACTAATTCAAGCAGAACAGCACTAAAGGAGCAACTATTGTTTGCTCATCAGATATATGACCGGCTGGATCTCATGTGATAAGCTAGTGGGAGGATAAGCCTAAAGATCTCTCTGAAACGTAGAATCGGAATGGTTTTCTCTAAGTAAAGGAAACACATGCTGTTTCTAAAACTTCCTGACCAGGTTTTCATGACAAAATCATTTCAAGGCACACGTCGGCTGAAGGCTTACCCCAAAAAGTATGGGTGCCAGCAGAGAGCGGCCAGGAGTCTTTAAGAGGGTTGGTGCTAGTTACAACTTTGAGTGACATTTGTAACCTGGAGGTAAACACAAGGGAAGCCACAGGACACAACAGCCTGGACTGTCCCCCACTGGCCCAAGAGCAGACTT